CCAGTGAGGAGGGAGAGCGTAGACTGTGTCAGCCAGTGAGGAGGGAGAGCGTAGACTGTGTCAGCCAGTGAGGAGGGAGAGCGTAGACTGTGTCAGCCAGTGAGGAGGGAGAGCGTAGACTGTGTCAGCCAGTGAGGAGGGAGAATGGAGGCTATGCAGTGTAAGGGGCTGCCCTCATGGCAGATCTAACTGTCTCTTAGATGTAGGAGGTTTAACCCTCTGCAGTCTGAGGCCTCAGCCACCTTCGGGGTAGTCTGACATGCCTTGACATTTTTTAAATATTTCACTTATCTAAAAAACATTTATCCCAAAGTGTTACATGTGCTTCTATTCAGCACAAACTCAGCACCAATAATCTGAGACCACTTAGAATGTTATTATTCTATTTTTTGTTAAAATCTTTAAACATATACTTTTCAAAAACCTGTTTCAGACATGCTGAGAAATTGTAAAAAATCACATTATAAACATTTCTAGCCAAGACTTTTGAGCTCTGAAGCTTAGACACAGGGGTTGGCTACACATAGGTGAAAGAGACATTATGAAATTTTATGTGGTTTGGTTACTAAAGTGTTAGAACTTTGGAGTGACACAAATCATTNGCTGAGCACTGTCACTGGCTGACACAAATCATTATTGTAAGCATGATGCTGAGCACTGTCACTGGCTGGTACACATAACTGAAATTCTGGCAGGAATTCCACTCATCCTGGAAAACCTGGAAAATAGTCCACCAGTTTTGCAGTCATGGAAAACACATGGAAAGGAGTCCTTGGATACATCAAACAGAGATAGGAAAGGCATAAAAGGATCAGGATCCAGGGATTATACTCTTAATCATAAATATATGTTATTGTTTTAGGCACCACCTGCAGACAAAGGAGGGGAAACTGCATCCCTTGCAGGAAGAGTGGATCCGGGCTTGACAGGAAAGAAACTTCTGATGAACCGTGAGACAGACAACAACTTTGACAAGGAGGAGGTATGGTGTGAAAGTGAAAGGCCGAGCGGTGCGCAAACCAAAGAGGCTGACGTCACATCAGATCAAGGTATACTGCAGTCTGCAATTCCCAATACCGAGGTGGTCTATCTGCCATCCTTGGAGAAACGGGAATCAAAAGTGATAAATTCCAATGTGGAACTAATGTCGCGCAGAGAAGTGCAGCAATCTAAGGCTGCATCTGATGATCGCAACACAAAGGAAGAAAAAATACGAAATGGGAAATCTAAAATTATGACAGGGACTAGAAATAAAGAGGCTAAACTGGGAACAAGTAAAAAGGTTTCACAATCAGAGGAAGGGAAATGTAAGCCAAACACAACACAAGCAAGGGGGACACGACAATCTGCGACAAAGAACACAGAAAAGGACGGGACACTTGAGAGAGGAACACTGCAAGCTAACACAACACATAGGGAATGCGAGTTGACAGGAGAGAGAAGGACAACAAAATGTGAGATATCAACATTAGTGGCAGAACTGACAGCAGATGAAGGCAGACTGCAAGCTGAGATTCCAAGGACTGAGGCAACAGTTGCCGTAGAGACACGGATAACTGAATCTGTGATAGAAGTTGTGGATGTAGGTGCCTTGGCAGACAGAGACAAACTGCAAGTAGACCTTCCGAAATCAGAGCCTGATGTCACTGAGGGTCCATCGAGAATGCAGACAGAGATAGCAAGCAGTGAAGTTTGTTTTATACCTCAAATGGACACAAAGCAAGATGAGATTGCAACAGCTAAAATTACGGTCA